CTGACCCAAGATCTCCTCGTGTCCTTACTTTTGAGGTTTTATGAGCCTTAGAATTGGTAGAAAGACAGTTAGATAGAGCAAAGTTAAAACAATTTACATATGGAAAGGAATGGTCTTTTATTATTTTCAGGACACCCTATACTCCTATGGGGTGTTTATGACAAAAAGTAATTTTAGAGTGGATACATCTTCCTCATGTACAGTCAAAAATGTTGGCCTCCTATCCTTATCTCTGCTTCCTGTTAATTATTAAAACTAAACAAAAGGCTAAAAATTATTTGGTAAGGAGATGGATGATATTATTATCCCTTATAATAAGCTACAATTTGAAAGTCTCTTAAAGAAAGATAAAAACTGGGGTATAGCCTTACAAGAATTTACAGGGCAAATTATCTTTATCCTAAGCATCCCCTTATAAAATTTTTTAAGGAAGCTAAAGTTATTTTTCCTACAAAAACCTCTTCTCAGCCTTTGGAAGCTGCTGTCTGTATTTTTACAGATGGTTCCTCTAATGGAAGGTCTATGGTTTACATCTTTGGCAGATCTCCGTTACTTAAAGAAGAAACTCAGATATCTACACAGCAGTCAAAAATAAAAGCTGTCTTGCTTGTGTTTAGATCTGTTTCAAAAAAAAATTTAACCTTTATACAGACTCAAAATATGTGGGTAAACTTTTTCCAGCTATTAAGACTGCTCTATTATCAGGACATTCTCATATCTTGCCATTATTTCAGGGACTGCAAAATTTAATCAGACAATGAAAAGAGAGGTTTTACATAGGACATATTAGGGGACATACTGCCCTGCCAGGACCTCTGAGTGAGGGCAATCATTTAACAGATGCATTAACCAAGGGATGTATTATAAATATAACTAAAACTAAGGAGAGTCATAAACTACATCACCAAAATGCTTTGGTTTTAAAAAGGATGTTTAATTACTAGAGAACAAGCTCGACAAATTGTTAAAAATTGTGGAAATTGCCCTCAAGTATATCATCCATTAAAGTGGGGGTCAATCCTCATGGGTTGAAGCCTCTGTCTTTATGGCAGATGGATGTCACCCACATTCCTGAATTTGAAAAATTGACTTATGTTCACGTCACAGTGGATACTTATTCCCATATGTTGTTCGCATCAACAAAAACAGGTGAGGCAGTAAAAGATGTCATTCAACATATGATACAAAGTTTTTCAGTTATGGGACTCCCCCACAGGTTAAAAACTGACAATGCCCCCGCTTATGTCTCTAAAGCTTTTAATCAATTTTTACAAAAATGGAGTATCTTGCATATTATAGGAATCCCCTATAACCTACAAGGGCAAGCAGTAATTAAACATTCACATCAAATATTAAAAAAAATCAAATAGCTCATTTAAAGGCAGCTAATGTGTATTTCTCTCCATATCATTTGTTATCTCATTCTCTCTTCATTATCAATCATTTAAATGTAACGAACAGGGAGATTCCCCAAATATGATTCATTGGGGGAGGACCGAAAAATACGGCCCTCCCAAAAATAATGTGGAAAAGACCTGTTAACCCAGCACCTGGAAAGGTACGGATGTCTTAATTTCCTCTGGGAGAGGATATGCATGTGTTTTTCCTCAGGATGCCAACTCTCCAGTCTGGATCCCAGATTGGCTTGTCCCACCGGCTCCTCTCGAGAAGACAACAGAAAAAACAAAAACAAGAGCAAAAAAAGACAAAAAAACAAAAAACAAAAAACTACAACACCTTTCGCTGACTCCTCGGAGCCTACCAACTTGGACACAATTAAAGAATCTGACTCAACAGGCCACGGAACTTGTGACCACACAGAATAAGCCACAGACCCCTGAATTTAATTTTCTTGCTCTTTTATCTATCCTTGCAGCTCAGGCGCACTCCATCAATGGAGACAGTTTTTGGTCTTATACCCCT